GCCGGGCGCGTGGTGCTGGCCGCGTCCCCGCTGCGCCTGTGCCGCGCGCACCTTGGCCCCAAGCCGGGCTGCGCGGGGCTCTGCGCGCAGCTGCACCTCTGTCGGTTCATGCTCTACGGCGCCTGCAAGTTCCTGCGGACCGGGTGAGGAGGCGAGAAGGAGGGGCGGGGGGGGGCAGGGCGCCGCCTCATTGCTGTGTGGTTTTTTTGTTTGTTTTTCTTCCGGTACCAGGAACCGAACTCGCGACCTTGCGCTTGCCAGGCAGGCGCTTTGCCGCCGAGCTAAATCCCCAGCCCCGCTTCCCTCATTTGTTAAAGTCTGAGGAGAGTTGGGTGGCCGTGCGGGGTCCGCGTCATTCCCGTCACCACATTGAGCGCCTCCGGAGTATCTGCCCCGAGCAGGGCAGTCGGGGCCGAGTGGCGACCTTCAGGCTCCGGAGGACGCGCTCCGAGGGCCCAGGGGCGGAGATGGAGTGGGGACCAGGAGGCCCACCCCGGCGCTGGCAGGATGGGCTGGGCAGGGACGCTGCGGTGGCCCGGGGCAGCTCCGGGGCCCCGGTCGGGGCAGGGCGCTCCCTGGTGGCTGGAAGGAATGTGGAGATCAGGAAACCGAGCTCAGCTGCTCAGGTGGCCTGGATCATCGGGTGGCCGCCCGCAGCGCCCTTCCTGGTGTGCGCCATCAGTGTTCCCAGCGCGAATCAAAGATCAGCTTCTCTTGAGCGCCGTTCCTCTCACTCTTCATCACACCTCACTGTTTTGTGTCCCGCCAAGTGCTCAGCCATCTCTGCCTGGCTGGCTCCCCAGCACCTTTGTGCGCCGCAGCTGGTCCGCGAGCCAAGGAGAACAGGCTCACTGTTTCCCCCGTCTGGTCTCCTCTTTGTGCCTGTGTCCTGATCTTTTCTTCTGAGGACACCAGTCATGTTGGGTGAGGGCCGGCCCTGATGACCTTATTCTTTTTTTTTTTTTTTTTTTTTTTGGTTTTTCTCCGGTACCGGGAACTCACGACCTTGCGCTTGCCAGGCAGGCGCTTTTGCCGCTGAGCTAAATCCCCAGCCCCCCTGATGACCTTATTCTAACTTAATTTCCTCTTTCGAACCCAAATCTTTAAATGCAGCCTCATCCTGAGGTTCAGGGAGTTGAGGCTCCGACGAAGGAGAACAGGGTTAGTAGGTTGCTGAGCTTTCTGCTGAAGTTTTGAACCTCGCCTTGAAGGGGATGAGGCCCTTCCAGTGGCAGGAGATGCGAGCCTCAAATGTGTCTTATAGGAAGTGGTCTTAGGTAGTGCTGGGGATGCTGATGTAGAGGATGTCTTGAGGACCTGCTTTGAAGCTAGTCCGGTTAGGTAGAATTTTTCCTTCCTTTTTTTCTTCATTCTTTCTTCCCTCCTTTCTTTCCCATCCTCTCTCCTCCCTCTCTTCCTCCCCCCCCCCCCGTCATTTTTCTTTTGTCTTAGCACGGTAGACACCACTTCTGGCCCTAGTTGGGTCTAATAGCCTGGGATAGTGGCCTTGATCCGTGCAGTCATTCAGGGATCCAGGCTGACTGACCTAATCTCCGCCTTCCTCAGCAGTAGCTCTCAAGGCCAATCTAGGTATGCAGTCCCTTAGATGGCGCAGAGGGAAAGTAGAGGATTGAGTGGAAGGATTTTATGGGCCAGATCCAGAAGTGGTAGACATCCTTCCACTTATATCCATTGACCAGAGGTTGTCTCATAACCTGACTCAGATGCAGGCAGGCTGGGAAGTGTGGTCTCTAGGAACCAGCTGTCCGCAAAGCCCGTTAGATGGACTTTTCCAAGGGATGAGTGTGTGAGAAATTCATGGCAGTTGAGTTGGAGATGATGTGGAGAGGCTTTGGGAGATACGACGACGGTTGGGTTTCTGCTCTTAGAGTTTGCTGAGAGCAGGAGAGCATTTTAGTTCTCTTCAGGTCTGAAGCTTGCGGCTGAGGCTGAGCACCTCACATGCCCGGTTAGGGAGATGTTGAGTGGTGAAGGCTGAGGCTGTGGGCCCAGTGTCAGGAGTGGATCAGGTCTGAGGAGGAGTCTGAGGTCTGGAGAGTGGAGGGTGGAGCCCTGGGGTTAGAAAGGGCAACCCCGGAGGGAGAAGGCACACAAGGAGTGGGTGGGGGGTGGGGGGCGGTGGTGGTGGAGGAGAGGGCGCTTCATGGGTCCAGATGCGGATCTTTGGCGAATCCTTTGATGAACCTGTTTGGTAGAATGAAGATTGTGACCTCATTCTTTCGCTTTTCCTGAAGTTCGGAGCCAGATTTGATCTGTTTTAGGGATCTGTGCATCTGATATTTACTGGCTTAGGAGCTTTCTTTCTTCATTCTTCACTTCTCTTTTTCCCGACGTACACAGGGACTTACGTGGCCATTCCTTTCAGTGACTGACTTAGGGGAGAGTAGATGTGCCCAGATGTCCTCAGAGAGGCGTTATCCTGGGCCCCAGACATTTCACAGTCCCGTCTCTTTCTTGGCAAGTAGCCACAGGCTTTCGTTGCAGAGACAAGCTGGGCTTCCTCATGCTTGTGAGCACCGTGAGGACGTATTCCTAAAAGACTGTCACCAAGAGTGACCTCATCGGCGGCATAGGGTTGCTAGGGCTGATGACAGGGAATCACTGGCCACGTGGCTTCAACATCAGTATTTTCTCACAGTTCTGGAGGCCGGAAGTCTGAGGTGTCGGCAGGTTGCTTTTCTCCGAGCCAGTACTCCATGGCTTACAGAAAGCCACCTCTCACTGTGTCCTTGTCTGGTCTTTTCTCTCTGTGGCTGTATTCGCATCTCTTCTTCTAACTAGTCATGTTGGCTTAGGGCTGACCCTAATGATGTCATTCTAACTTAATTTCCTCTTTCAAGCTGTATCTCCAGACGCAGCCTCATCTGACATAGGAATTTTGGGAGACTGCTTTGGCCTGTAACACGTCTCTGCTGCTTTGCAGGACGAACTGTAGGAACAGTCACAGCTTGATGACCGATCACAACCTGAATGTGCTGAGAACTCACGGCGTTGACCACCTCAACTATAGTGAGCTGTGCCAGCTCTTGTTTCAGAATGACCCCATGCTTCTGCCGGAAGTGAGTATAGGGGAAGGGTGGCATTTTTCAGCATGTAATCAGGAAGGGGCCACAGGATTGTAAGATGCAGAAATATACGGCTGAATAGAAACCAAGGACCCCAACTTGACTAAGAACCACAGAGAGAGACCTAGATTTCTGACTGCTGATTTCTAGGCCTATGACCTTGGGCCAACCTTGCACCTCTTTTCTGTCGCCATCGGTGGGGTAGTACCTCCCTTGCAGGTCTTCTGTGAGACTGGGGGAGCCCCTTGGGTCAGCGCCTGCAGGAACAAGTGTCTCAGAGCTGAGGGGATGAGATGTGCCATGCTCCCTCTCTGCCAGGGAGTGATTGGAAGCATGGTGTTGGGCTTCCAGCAATACCCAGGGCGTTGGGTATTACAGATCTCAGTTGGTCTGTAGAGAAGCTGTCATCTTGAGTGAGGGGTGGCCTCCTGTCTGTGCCCGTGTGGACGATGAAGTCATACCTTGGCCATGAGGCCCCTTCTTATCAGTGACAGCATTAGTGGGAGGTGTGTCTTGGGGGGACCTTCTTGGGCTAATGTCCTTTTACTTTGCTGTCAATAGGTCTGCTTACATTACAACAAAGGAGATGGGCCCTTTGGCGGCTGTTCCTTTCAAAAGCAATGCATCAAGCTCCATATCTGCCAGTACTTCTTACAGGGGGAGTGCAAGTTTGGTACTAGCTGTAAAAGATGCCATGATTTCTCCAGCTCTGAGAATCTAGAGAAGCTGGAGAAGTTGGGCATGAGCTCAGACCTGGTAAGCAGACTGCCTTCCATCTATAGAAATGCACACGACATCAAGAATAAGAGCTCTACCCCCACCAAAGCGCCCCCTCCTCCTGCAGATCGTCAGGGGACTTCTGGTAAGACTGGTGGGAAGTGCTGCGGGCTGGGGTGGTGGGGGTGTGGACTGTTCCACGTGGCCACTGAATAGAGTGTGAGATTTGTAGTGAGTCTGTAAAGTAGAGTTGATGATCCTTTCGAAGATAGGGGAGTTTTGACTGTAAGTTGAACTCATAGACATGATTAAACAAGGTGATCAGGGGCCAGGAATATAGCTCAGTGGCATGATGCCTGCCTGGCAAGTGTGAGGGCCTGAGTTCGATTTCCAGTTCCAAAAAAAACAAAACCAGAACTAAAACAAATAAACAAGATGGTCTACACAGTGTGAGTTGGTGTTGATGGGAACTGAATTCTAGAGAGCCCTTGTCTGTCCTGAAGTGGGGGCCTTGCCTCCTGTCCTGTGCAGGTGTCCCACAGTTCACCTCCCAAAAGCTGACCTTTCAGCAAGGAGCCTGAAAGCTCTCCAGGGTCCTTTACCTTGTAGTCTCTTTTGATATTACAAAACAAGTGAGAGAGGCATATTTGAGCTTGGCCATCTTCCTGAGGTGAATAAGTGGCATTCTTTTCTCATTGTAAATTTCCTTGGTCTCTGCTCTTCTGTAGTTCCTAGGTAGTGTCTAGCTTGTAGTAACCACTTAATATTTGTTGAATGAATGAGTGTTAGAATATGAGACACATTTGCACCTTCTAAGTGCAGAATTAGGCTCACTTATAACATGTTTGTCACTTTAATCTCATCTAAGTTTTACATCTAAAAATTGTCCTTGCTGGGCATAGTGGGACATGCCTGTAATCCCAGAACTTGGGAGACTGAGGCAGGCAGATCCTGTCTCCAAAAAAAAAAAAAAATTGTACTTGCTCTGTTTTTTCCTTTGTATTTTTCTTCAGTCATTTTTATGTTGATCTTTTTCAACTCCCAGAAGCCCCAGAGGTAGACAAATTTTGCTTTATTGTTATTGTTATTATTATTATTATTATTATTATTACTAGCTACTGGGAGTCGGACTTAGGACCTTGCACTTCCTAGGCAGGCACTTGTGCCACTAAGCTATATCCTCAGCCCCAAATTTTGCTTTAGATATTTAAACATTTTAGTTGGGTCAGAATCTTACTAGGAAGCAAGAGGAAAACCCACTGCTGAGTGGGGTTGGGTCCCAAGAGCAGTCTTGCCTTGGGGAGGAGGAGGTGATCACATTCAGGGTCCCCCAGGTTGAGTTTGAGTTTTGAAGCCCAAACCTGTGGATCATCTGAGGGGCTTATGGAAAATAAATGAAAGGCAGATAATAAAATGACTTTGATACTATAAATGGGGAGAGGCTGTGACTGCATCTTGTATACTTATTTAGGGGTCTGTGGGTGCGGGTAAGTGCAGTAGGTAACGATTCATTGAAGTGATACAGGAAAGGTAAGCTTTGAAGGCGCTTACATGCCCTTTTTGTTAAGAACCTTATAGGTAACTTGAAGTTAATGAAAGAAGCTTCATTGAAGATGTAGGTGGCTCATGTATTACCTTTTTTTGGTTATTAGTACCCAATTCTAAGAGTTCATTAGCAGATACTGTATTTGTTATACAGACTCAGACCTGGTTTATAAAACATAGCCTTCCATTTGCCCTCTCCCTTTGACTTGGGTAAACAGCCAGAGTTGAGAAAAGACCTCCACCGGCATCCTGGGTTTAGTAAGCAGTCGTGTGACTGTGGGTTTCTGGCTACACCCTAGAAGGAGTGCCTGCCTGTATTTTTAGAGTGGTTTCATCCCTAACAGTGGTCCTGTCAGCTTGCCTGGCCACTTTTTTGCAGGGTAACAAATGAATTCTCCTTGCACTTTGAGCTGCTGGTACCCTGTATCAGAAGCTTCTTTTTTTGTGGTGTTTCTTTGTAGAAAGAAGAGATAGTTTGAGTTCTATGTCCCCAAACACTCCTAACCAGGAGGAGAGTGATCAGATCTGCTTGTACCATATCAGGAAAAGTTGCAGCTTTCAAGGTAAGTGAGGCCTGGCCTGTATCTCCCTCCCTAGGAGAGGCCACTGCTTCTCATTCCTACGAATTCTGCCGCAAGTCATCCCTGGGGGGAAGGCTGGTGCTTTGACCAAAGTGGTTCTGAAGCTGTTTTGTTGGGGAGTTGAGGATGGTAGAATTCTCTGAATTTCTGAAAATGAAACTGTAGGTCTGGAGTTTGGGAGAACATAATTATTTGGATCTGTACAAATGAGTGTCATGTGTTGCCCCTTGGTCATTTTGGCACAGAGTCACAGACCGGCATGAAACAGGGATAGTCAGTCTAGTTGAATCCATGCTAAGTGTCACTTGTGAAGGGTGAAGATAGAAGACAGGCCTAGGGGAGCCCTAGACACTGGCCTCACTGGTGAGGAGATGGTTGTGTTACCTCTGAGAGGAGAGGTGAAGGTTGCAGTCCCTGTCAGTGTAGCAGGTGTCTGTGTGTCTGCATTTTCACTAAATCTTTTTTTTTTTCTTAATTGCTAACTTGACCTTTGACTGAAGAGTCCTTCTCAAATTTGGTGCTTCCCTTAAAAAACAACCACCAAAACTTCTTGTTTCAGTCTTTAAAAGTTATCCAAGCAATTCATGATGTTTCATTTTGTGAAAGAGTCAAGTAATACAAAGTAAAGCAGGATGTCTTCCTCCGTCCTTCCCCAAAGTTAAACATGTGCTGTGTAGTTGTAATATTGTTTTATATTTATTTTTATTTGGGGGGGGTACAGGAACCAGACTCATGACCTTACACTTGCCAGGCAGTTGCTGTACCACTGAGCTATATCCCCAGCCGTGTTTTATTGATTTTTTTTTTTTTTTTTTGGTCTTTTCTCTTTTTGAGACAGGGTCTCGCTATGCAGTTCAGGCTGGCCTTGAGCTCACTTTGTAGCCCAGGCTGGTCTGAACTTGCAACAATCCTGCTGCCTCAACCTCCCAGGTGCTGCGAGTACAGGCGTGGGCCACCACACCTGGCTTGATTTTTAAACAGATGGAAACATGGTAACATATTATTCAGTTTGTACCTTTTACTTAACATTGTGTTGTGGAGATATTTTCCATGTGTTAATTTACTTCATTTTTAAAACAGCCATCTAGTATTCATTCACAGCCGTGGTCCATTGAGCATGCAAGTACCCTGCATGACTCTTTCCATAGCTGTCTGGAAATGGAATGCTGGGTCAAAGAATGTATGCCATAGAAACATACATATTTTGATTTTAAAATCAATATTAAGATGTAATTTACACAATAAGATGCATCCATTCAAAATGTGTGGTTGTGAGTTTTGTTAAGTGTATATGCCCAGGTACAAGGTAAGGAATAGTCCCTCAGTTCAGAATGTACTTTTAGTAGTTCATACTCACCCTTTCAATTCACCTGCTCCAGAAATTCTTCATCTACTTTTTAATCACTGTAGGTTGTCTTTTCTAGAATTGCGTGTAAAAGAAATCATAAAGGACGTGTTATCTTTGTTATGGTTTTGAGATAAAATATTCCCCCAAAGTTTCATGCTTAGAGGTGGGGGCTTTTGGAAGATGTTTAGTTCATAGGGTGTGTCGTGGTTACTTTTCTCTGTTGCTGAGACAAAATACCTGATGCCCAAAATTAAGGAAGGAAAGGTGTATTTAGCTCAGTCTGTGGAGGTGTCAGTCCTCCTGGCTACAAGGCAGGGTGGCATTTGGCAGAGGGCAACCATTCCTGGCTGCAGAAGACAGCAAAAGCAGCAAGAGCAGAAGGGAGTGGGGGTGGCAAGCAGCCTCTTTTCCTCCCTTACACTGTGTGCAAACTATTCGCCCGAAGGTAGTGTAGCACTCACATCCATAATTCCAACATTGGCGCATGAATCAATCATAAACTCTAGAAGCCGCCCCATGACTGCATGAGGATTTGGAGGGGGGCGTGTAGACACAAACCATAACAGGGTGCTGTACTCATCAGTGGATTAATTCATTGATGAGCTTGTAGCTTTGCACTGGGCTACATCCTGAGCTCTGCTTTATTTTTTATTTTTATTTTGAGACAGGGTTCTGCTATATTGTGCAGGCTGGACTTAAACTTGCAATCTTCCTACCTCAGCCAGAGTGCTACGATTTGTGTGTGCCATCGTGCCTGGCTCTTAGCATGCTCTTGGGATTCAGTCACTCTGGCAAAGTAATAGTTCATTGTTTATTCATTGCATGGATTGATTGCAGTTTGTTTATCTGTTAATACATTGACAAGCATTTGGGTTGTTCCCATTTTCTGGCTTTTGTAAATAAAGCTCCTATAATATTCATGTGCAAGTTCTCATGTAGATATGTTTTCAGTTCTGTTGGCTAAAGATGTGGAAGTGAAATTTCTAGGTTATATGACGTATGTGTAACTTTTATGAGAAACTATCAGTGTGTCTTTTAAAATGGGTACAATACTTTACATTCCCCCCAGTAATCTATGAGCATTCCAATTGGTCTTCATCCTTGTCAACACTTGGTACTAACAGTCCTTTAAATTTTAGCCATTTTAATAAGTGACTAGTAGTGTTGCATCATAGTTTTAATTTGCATTTCTTTGATTAATGATGTTTAACATTTTCATATGCTTATTGGACATTTGTTTATCTTCTATGAAATGTCTGTTCAAATATTTTGCCTGTTTTTATATTACAGCTTTATTAAAATATCGAGTATGTCACATGCCATATAATTCACTCATGTAATAGTTTTTAGTATAGTCATAGTTTTGTGCATTCACCATCACAGGAAGTATTAGGACTTTTCAGCAGCCTAAAAAAAGTATACCACGTATAGTCACTCCTACCCCCTCCCACTCCTGGCAACAGGTTTGTGTCTGTCTCTATAGATTTGCCAGGATCTAGCCACCCCCCACCCACCTTTTGTAGTACTGGGATTTAAACCTAGGGCTTTCTTGCTGAGTTGCATCCCCAGCCCTTTTTATTTTGGGAAAGAGCTTCACTCAGTTGCCCAAGTTAGGCTTGAACTCTCAATCCTCTTGCCTCAGCCTCCCAGAGTGCGGAGATTACAGGTGTGCACCACCATGTCTGACTCTAGATATTTCATATAAAATGCAATTATAGTGTATTGGTCATGTGACTATTTTTTAGTTATTTGATCTTGTTATTGAGTATGAAGAGTTCTATATGTATGTTGAAAAACCATTCTCTTAGTCTTTGTCATTCATGTTTATTTTTATGATGTCTTCTTAATACATATTTTAATGTTGATACCAGTTTGATACTTGTCCGTATTGTATCTATTTTAATATCTTTTTATTTTCTTGTGTTTTTGTTGCCTGAAAATATCTGCCTATTCCAAGACAAATATTCCCCATGGTTGTTTCCTAGAGCCAGCTTATGTACCACTTTGTGTTAGGTGCACCCTAATGCTCTCATGATAACTCTGACCCTGTCGGTGTTGCTGGCTGCTCTCCCTGTATTGTCCCTGTTGGGTTGGGTGATTCTCCGCTGTCTGTCTGTGGTGTTGTGCTTGAGAAGCCCTGTGTGTCTGTCTGCTGATTGATTCCAGGAAGCTAACTTTGATGTCAGGCTCCAGTGATGATAAAGCAGGTGTGTCCTGCTTGGTGAGGTGGCTGCTGGTGTGTCGCCAGGAACTGGGGCGGGGGTTGGAGGCTGTGTCATCTGCTTTCGTTTCTAGTAGCCCTTGTCTCTACACTTGCATGTTCATTTGGGAAGCAAATAGTGAATCCCAGAGAAGCAAGCAACATCTCCACACTGCACTGCCCAGGCATGCCTGGGGCAGGAAGTCTTGTTCTCACTGTGACAGTCTGTGTCACCTGACTCAGCCTGTGAAGCCCCCAGGTTCTTCCTCTCAGTGTGGTACTTTCTGTGTATTTTGCGTGTGTTTTCCTCTCTTACATCAGTTTGATTCTGTTCGCTTCACAGTGTAGGAATTCTGATCTTTTGATGGCACTTTTTATTGCTTTGCAGTGCTCTTGGGTTTGTTTTTCTTTCTGGTTTGTCATTTCAAGTGAGGTAGGGAGGAAGGATGGGTGGCTGTGGTGCTTTGCCTGTCAGATGTGTTTGATTTCTGTGGTTCACCTTCTACAAGGCTTAGACTCCAGAGGGCCCCAGTGAGGTGGGGAACATAAAGCAGGGGAGGGAAGGAGAGAAAGGGGCCAGAGGGTCAGGGAAGAGGAGGACAGAGGAAGGGGGGGCCTTGTGTACCCTGGCACCTTCTGATTGTGAGTGGTGTGGCCTCCACACTCAGTTTGGGCCTGCTGTTTGCCAGAGTGCTTTCCCAGGGCCCTTAGGCTCTTACCAAGGAAGCACCAGTCTGCTGGGCTGTGCGGGATGCCCCTTCTTAAGGGGTGCCTTTCTGGCAGGGAGAATTTTTCTTTGGGCTCCCCACGTTCACCTGTGCGAGGGTTTGTAGCTGTAGCATCAGTCTGGGATGCTCTGGGGAGGCCTCTCTACCCTTTCCCCAAATCCTTTCTTTTAGTGAACTTCAGGGAGGGAACATGAGCTCTTACTTGGTCATGCGCTCTAGACCACAGCTGTGCCTTACCTGTCCTGGGCTTCATTAACCTGTCTACATACTGCTTGTCCAAAGTCCAAGAGAGGGCCCTTGGCCTGATGTGCACTGTGTGCACATTGGAAGTCTCCAGTGTAGCCATGCCCTGCCTTGCTGAACTTAGAGACTTCCTCGCTTGGTACCCCTAGCTTGGTTCCTTAGCCCTCTTGGCCTGGTGTTCTTTTCTGCCCAGGCCTGGTCTTTAACAAACTTCAGCAACATCCTCACTCCCCCCACTTCCCTCTGTGGTCCCCTTTTGCAGAGTCTGGGAAAAAGCTGGTGTTGAGGTGTGCCTAAAATAATGAAGATAAGCTGAGTGTAGTGCCATACCCTTATAATCCCAGCACTGAGGGAGGCTGAGGCAGGGGGAGTGCAAATTTGAGCTCTGCCTGGGCAATTTAGTGAGACACTGTCCTAAAATAAAAAATAAAAAAGGGTTGGGGATGTGTTGTATCTGGCTTCTACTCAGGAAACCAAAGATGTCACATCTGGAGGACAAGTACTGCTGCTCTGGGATTGTAAACTTATCACCAGTAAAAAAATTAGAGGGATAAGGTTTAACAAAAGGGAGACACTTCATTTGTAAAGAGGAAAAGGAAGGGAGAAAAGGAGGACCTGTGGACATTTGTTTCCAACTGTTTTTTATAAGAAGATCAGAAACCTTTCCCCCCAACCCAGAACTTGCCCTAACTGGATTGGCTTCCCAGCACCTCTGCCAAATACCATTTCTTCCGGTGGTCTGCACGCAGCCTTTGTCTGTTTACTTGTCCCTGACCTACCTTTACCTTTGGGCTGGGCATCCAGTTGGCAGGTGGGTGTTGTGTGTGCCTTATTCTTGCTTAGCTTAGAGTTAGTAAGGGCCTGTGGATAGCTATTGTACTCTATAATGACCCTAGAGGGAGTAACATAGTGACGGTAGTGTGAACACACACGTATATGTGTATGTGTTAGTGCACAGGTGTGAGTACATCCTGCCTTAATAAAGGTAGCCCTCCCTTGCTTCCCCTGTACTTTATTGCAGGTGGGGCGGCTCATTGCATGTGCACGTGGCTTCCCTCTGTCCTGCCTGGCAGCTCTTCCTCTGGTCTCTTGCTGCGAGTCTCCCAAGGCCATTTGGTGCCTTTCTTTATCTGTGGTTTCTGTTTTCCTTCTACCAGTTTTGACTTTCCCAGGGGAATCTCTCTAGAAAAGTTTGTTTTTAACTCCTACTCAGGCTTTCCCAGAAGACCTACGGAGGACTATTCTATTTTCCCTCTGCAGACTGCTGCCTGTACAGATGCAGCTCAGTGGTAGAGTACCCCTGGGCTCAGTCCCCAGCAGCTTAAAGAAACGAATATTATTTGTGATTTTAGAAAATTATAATATTGGCTAAATATCAAATTAGCCAACCTTCATTGGTGTTATTTTGTAACACGCATTACAAATGTGCAAAGGACAGTAAGAAACAAGTCTTCCTCACACTTCTTTTATCTCACACTGAGACCCTGTCCAACAACAGCAGTGATCATTACCCAGTCCCTGAGTATTTTGTGTGGAAAGCTGTTATGCATGCACAAGCGCGTATACGTATTTGTGTATACTGTGCTGACACATCTCTGCACATTAGTTCTACAGGTGCACAGCACACTCACATTTTTCACTTAACTAACTAGATGTTTAATTTTTTGGACTATGTAATATTTTTTTTTTTTTTTTTTTTGAGCTAGGGTTTTGCAGTGTAACTCAGTCTGGCTTCAAACTCACACGATCCCTCTGTCTCAGCCTCCTGAATGCTAGGATTGTAGGCGGGACCGCCACACCCAACTGGAATATGTAATATATTCATGTGGTTGAGAATTTAAAACATGCAGAAGTCTTCCTCTTACGTTGTCTTCCACTGGCTAGTTCTCCATAGGAAATAGTCCCTGCATGTGTGTGATCAGTCAGCGTAGCTCTAATCCTTGTTCCATTTCTCCCGAGCACTGTGCTCCTTGTTGGGCAGGTGCCCTTCCCCTCAGTGTGCCCTTCTCCTTGGTGTGTGTCAGTGGTGGCCTGTGAGACAGTCCAGTGTGCTCTGTGGTCCTCTCTGCTCCTTCCAATCCTTTTCAGCCATCCTGGCTCCCCGTTAGGAGGTAGCAGAGCTCAAGGAAGCCACAGCGAGGCAGAGACAGGGTGTGGGCTGCGTTCCGGGTGGCAGGGCCAGCATGAGCAGGGGTGAGGCAGGCTCCCACTTGCCAAGTGCTCAGGGACTGGACAGAGAGGACGCAGCTGTGGGAGGGGCGTGGGAAAGCGGAGGGGAGGCTGCAGATGTGTGTGGGGGTGGCCGTAGACATGAGGGTCTGTGCGAGCAGGGGAAGGAGTGAGGCTGCTGGCCACCAGCGGTCTGAGCAGGTGCTGAGCCCCCTTGAGTCTCATGGCTGGGTGGGTTGGGTTTCTGGCAGAGACAAATTGGGTACCACCTGTGGTGTGACCTCTGCCCATCCCCATGACATCAGCTACCGCCTGCTGGGGTGGGGTCTATTGACCTTCTGTGACCAGCTTCTTTACAATCAAATCAAGTGACATTCCTAGATGATACAGCTCACACACATACATGTTTTTAAAAATCAGCATAAAAAGTCCTGTTAATAAGGGAGATAAAAAGCAGGGTGTATATAATAAGATACCTAGTATTTCAGGCTCTACATGCTCAGGTGTAACTGCACTAAGAAAACAGACTTCCTCAGAACTTCTAGATTACTCTGAGGCCGGTGGCCGCACCACGCTCGCTGACAACCTTAGCCACAGTGCCGTGACTGCCAGCTGTCTTACTACTTTACATTTCCATTTTAGACAAGTGCCACAGAGTTCATTTCCATCTGCCTTACCGATGGCAGTTCCTGGACGGTGGCAAGTGGAAGGATTTGGACAAAATGGAGTTTATCGAAGAGGCCTACAGCCATCCTGGAAGAGACAGGTAGGAATTGTCCCTTGTACCAGACTTGTGTGTGTAGTATAGGAAGTTTAAACAGCAGAAGTTATTTTCAGTGGCCTTAACACACTGCATGCGCACACAAGTATGCATATGTAGCCACACGCTCATGCAGCATAGTGTGGAGATGGACGCTGGACCGGAAATCAGGTTCATTTCATGTTGGCAATTTAAAGTGGTGGCTCTGTTCACCTACTTTCAAAGAGGAGCTGAGAGGTGGTACTAAGACCAAGTGAGTTTGTAATTATTTGCTGTTTGGGCTGATTGTATTTTATTTATTCATTTATTACAGAAAAACAAGAGGTAATTTTTGAAGTTTTAACCTTTTCTGTAAATTATGCAGCTGACCTGTTTATTGTTTAACCCTTAACTTTTATTAACAGTATATCCTATTATTTTCACTTAGTCAGTGTAAATAGGGAAGTAGCAGGTAACCTTATTTTCAGGTCTTTATTATATCTTGGGTTAAACTTGCTGCAGTATGTTTCCATTTGAATATGTAAAATAACTTTGAACTTGGAGTGAATTATTTGCAAATTGCTGTTGGTTAAGTGTGTGAAACATTATTCCCCTTAGGAGGATTAACTGGCTCACATACCACCCATAATCTTTGTTTCTGAGACGAAATTTACACACACCAGTGTGCACACAGATGAAGTGTAAAAGCTCAGTGAGTTTTGACTAATGCATATAATCATGTAGCCTACACTTTGATGGAGATATAAGGCATTTTGTCACCCTGGAAGTGCTTGTGTCACCTTCCAGTCACTCCAGCCCCCAGGTTGGACCACGGTTCTGACTTTCCTCATGCAGATTAGTCTTACTGGTTCTTGTAGCTCTTGTAAACAGGAGCACATGGTATTTGTGTGTGTGTCTGGCTGCCTGCTGTGAGCCTCACCCTATCATGCTTCCCTCCTGTGCACATGGAGGACTTTCTAGGGGTGGATGTCTGCAGGCAGCAGCGGGTGGGAGGGCTGCACCCATGCTCGGCTCTATCGGCTGATGCCAGGCTGTTCTGCAGGGTGGTTATATGCCTTTCCACGCTCACTGGCAGTCTTGGGTACCATGTGCCCCTCACATTGGTGTTGTCTGACACTGATAGTTCCTGGTTGGGAGTGTAAACTGTGTGCTCCTTTCCTTGGCCTGATACCTGTGAGGATACTGTCGACATGTCCATTATCCATTTCACATCTGTGAAATGTCCAGCCCTATTGTTTGCCCATTTTGAAAGATAGGGACAGCTATGTTTTTTTGACAGCTATGTTTTTGTCTGTTTATTTTGAGGAATTCTCTACACTTCTGGATATTAAATGTGAAGTAAAATCAAATCGTGGTGGGCACCAGGGTGGCAAGTACACATGTGTCTGTTCTGGCTGCTGGGCATGGTCTGGTCATCTGTGTACTCAAAGCTTGCTGTTTTGCTAGGTAGAGCTTTGTGGGAAGTTCTGGCATCTCCAAGGCAGAGCCCTATCTTTTTTTTCCCCTTCAAATTGTCTTGGTTCTTGGCATTTGGCTCTTTAGAAATACTTTATGTGTATTAGAGTATGAGAATCTAGTGTCTAACCTTTCATGGTCTCATTGTTTTGGTCAACTACATTTTCTCTAGGCATCTTGTTTCCACCTACTTTGATTTTCAGCTTATGTTCAGTGCACCTTTGTGGAAATTTTCTTGACGTCTGAAGGTGAATTTCTCCAGAAAAGATTTGTGTTTGGGACCTGCTGCCTTTAAGCTAGTTCGCACACAGAGATGAGAATCTGCCTAAATAAAGCCTATGTGCAGCTTGGCTGGTTCATGAGTCCCAGGGAGTTTTTACAGAAGTCAGTTTTTCTTTCTCTCTCTGTCTTGCTTTCTGTCTCTCTCCGCCACCCCATCCCTCTCTCTTTGTTGTTGTTTCTTGAGACAGGCTGGCCTCAAACTCACGGTGATCCTCCTACCTCAGCCTCCCAAGTGCTGGGGTTATAGGCATGCGCCACCACGCCTGCCCAGAAGTTTCTCTCTTGAGATTTAGCCTCCTACCTTCCTTAGACCTTGCCTTTGTCTCCTGTGTTTTGATTGCTAAAATAGGGCTCTTGGTGGCTACTTGTTGACACTGCCCATAGGTGGCTGCTGGTCCTGGTGCACACTCTCTCCCTGACTTTCTGGCTCGCTTTGGTCTTTGAGCAGCGCAGTGTTGGAAGGGGAGCCTGTCCTGCTGGCAGACTGACGCTGCAGGTCGCTTCCCTTCAGCCCTGTCCACTGACCATGGGACTTTAGATGTGTTTCTTGGCCTTCCGGCCTCTGGTTTCCCATCCATGATGTGGGGATCTTACACTCACCTCTGAGGGTGGTGAAGATACAAACTTACTGAGGGTCTGGCTCACACGGTGCACGCTTAGTATGTGTTAACTATAGTTCCTTTGTTGTCTAAGGATTTCCCTTGTTTCCAGCTTGGCAGGACATTTTACTGTTTTTTTCCTTCATGGTGCAGGGCTTGAACCTAGGATCTTGCACATGCTAGGCAGTTGTTCTACCATGGAGTTATACTCGCTGTCTCAATGCATTTTGAAAAAGAATATCTTAACCAGCATTTTTTGTTGTGTAATATGAGCAGTTTTAATGAAAAGTCATCATCTTTATTAATCTGATTTTATTGTTGCACAGTAGAACTGTTCTTAAGCAGGTTTCCCTACCTCTGGAAAATTTCTAAAAAATGGTGTGACTCATTCAATATTTGCATCGACTCCCTGTGTTCCCTTGGGTAGAGGCTGAGGGATGCTTCTGCAGGTCTGGCGGGTACAGTGTTTAGTCTGCCCTGTGTTTTCTTTTGCAGGATCGTGTGTGCGGAGTCACCTGGTCGTGGCCACACTGATACCTTGAACTTTAACTCCATGAAGTTTGGCGCTGCCCAGGCTCGCCGCCTCTCCACAGCCTCCTCGGTCACCAAACCCCCCTACTTCATCCTCACCACTGACTGGGTTTGGTACTGGACTGATGAGTTTGGTTCTTGGCAGGAATATGGAAAACAAGTAAGTGTGAAGGAAGAGGGTAAGCGTGTGGTCTAGAAGGGAGCAGCCGCTCCAGACACGAGCACAGGGATTAGGAGGAGTGTCCTTGATGGAGCAAGGATCCCCAGGTCCCAGATTCTCACTGGTTCGGGGGCATCTTGCCAGAGTGAGGTGATTTGGAATTTTTTGCATGAGCTTCGTTCTTTGAACATGTGGGCTCCTCTTGGTGCCTGAGAACTGAATGACAAAAAATTGGAGTGAAATCAACTTTGTTCATTTGTTTTGTTGAGTGGGATAGAAAGATACATTTCTTCCTTGTTAATGGAGAACTCCAGAGCTAATGCCTAGGCGTGTTTTGGTAGCTGTGCTATAAAGTTTAAGTTTTCCACCTGCTTTTCTCACCTGTTTTTGCAACTTTCTCAAAGGTGGGCAAGAATAGAAAATTAAATCTTGTCAGGAATTGATTTGGAATCTTGGTCAGATAACTGCTGCTATCAGTGAGGAGGTGTTCTGGATGGATGAGATTAAAGGGAGTCCCCTGGTCACTTGCAGAAGTGCAAGATTAGGGGCCTGTCTCTTGACCATAGGGCCTGATCCTTCTTGTATCCTCTGCATTATGAGAAACTACATTAAACCACTGGTTTCTTGTTCTTAATTGCACTTGGAGTGGCCTTTTCTATTGGCCACACTTGGATGTAAGCTCCAGGAGGACAGGGAGCTTTCTCTCTTGCCACTGCTATGTCCCCATGTCTGGAATGATACATACCAGGTCCCCTGGACACAGATGCTGGCTCACGGAAGGAGAAGATATTGCTGCCTGAATCTGCAGGTCAGGCAGAGCTGGTCACTCCCAGTGGTGCTGCTTTTGGATCTAGTCCAGAGAGAGAGAGCGCGAGTGAGAGCGAGCATGCCCAGTTCAGTCAAGAGCCTGAGGGCAGAGGCTGGGGCTATGAGGGAGGAGGAGAGGACCGCTAGCTGATCACACTCCATCCGGCTAACCTGGTGACAAGATGTTAGGGCTAGTGGCTGACTAGGAGCACTTGGCAAAGGCCATTATCACTTACGTTTTGTTTGGTGATCCATCTAGCTTCTAGGGGCAAAAAAGGACAACACCTACTTGGTGTAAGGGTGACACAAGACGGGGGGAGTGGCCATGTAGACATGTTGCCTGAGTGACTTGTCAAGCTGAATTGTCACAGTGTGTGGGGTGTGGGGACTCTTCCACACCTGGGATTTTCCCTTTCCTTGTTCTTCCTCCTCGACTCAGTGTGTAAACCAGTTCTGGAATCCCTGGGGATCAGCTGCTGTGGCGTTACTGATGCATTGATGTGCTCGTGTGCTGGGTGTGAGGGTGTGCAGACTCAGGCTGGACCTGGTGGCTCCGGGCTGCACGTTCATTCTCCCTTGTACCGTTAGCTGGACAGCCTTGGGACCTTTTGTCTCTTCTTGTTCTCCTTTCCCCGTGTTTCTGGGCAACCTCTCCTTTTTTTTGTTTGTTTCTTCCTTAATTTTTTGCTACTTGCCAGTTCAAGACAGTTTTCTCTTGATTCTCAGAAAAGGTAGGTTCTCGTCCAAGTGAATTTTATATCTTGAGTCAGACCCCTGCTGGGCCTCCTTCAGGACACGTGGGGAGTTGTCATTCCTTCTGCACCTCACTAGTGTCCCCAGTATTGCACATGGGCCTTCCTCAGCTTAGCCCCTGGATTCTCCTCTCAGACCTGCTTAGGGACAGAAAAACTTTGCTTTTTGTTTTCTTTTCAGCCTCCTGCTTCTTTCCCCTCCCAGGGCAACCTGTCTTGAGAGAGTTTGACCTTAAGGACCAGGGCATGATGTGTATGTCTGACTGCTTGTCTCTTCTTTCTGTTTCTCTTAACATCTTGCATCATTTCCCTCAGACCAGAATGGAGGTTTTCTCTCCCTGCTTGCTGTCTGGAAGAGATTTTTATGCCACCTCTTCTTCCCTACTCAAGTTTCATGACTGAGTTTTGAAGAGCCAGAAAAGGCAACTTAGGGCACCAATACAAGACTATAAAATAGAGCGCTTCAAAAGTTGTATACCTGCTGGGCATGGTGGTGCACACCTGTAATCCCAGTGCATGGGAGGCTGAGGCAGAAGGATCGTTGCGAGTTTGAGGCTGGCCTGGGCTACAAAGTAAGCTCAAGGCCAGCCTGAACTGCATAGCAAGACCCTGCCTCAAAAAGACAAAAAAAAGGGGCTGGGGATTTAGCTCAGTGGCAAAGCGCCTGCCTGGCAAGCACAAGGTCGTGAATTCGGTTCCCGGTACCGGAGAAAAACCAAAAAAAAAAATAAATAAATAAAATAAAATAAAAAAAAGACAAAAAAAAAATGTATACTCATTCCGCCCTACCCCTCATTCACTTATGGTTGTATCCATAAAGCCTGGAACTTGTGATCTAAGAGGAATAGATAGTAGCAAAGGGAGAATAGGACAATTTACAGGGACAGAGGGAGTTACCCATCTACTGCCTTTCATTTTTAGTCGCCAGGGTGTGTCAGATGTCGTGATGGTAGGTAACAGTTACCGAGTGTGTTTCTTTCCAGGCACTGTGCTGAGTGCTCTGCATGCCTTATGTTATGATTTTTTCCAATCTGCAAGGGTGGTACATTCCTGATGTATAACAGTGGTGCGTGTGCCCGAATGTAGTCATGATTTCTGCTATATACTTGAGATAACTAACCAAGGATGGAATCAGCAAGTTTGGGAGGGTAGTAGTCCAGTTTCTATTGATGTAACAAAATAATTGAGGTAGTAGGGCCCTTGATGAAGAAAAGAGGCTTAGTTAGCTCACAGGAGGCCAGGATCAGATAACCCCAACTGTTTGGCCTCTGGTGAAGGCTCTCTTGGATGGGTCCAGCGTGGTGAAGGGACTAAGTCACTCGCAGAAGGGCCCAAGTATATGGGTGGGCTTAATGTCTAACACCTGCGCTTGAGCCAGAGCTCTCACTCTTCGAGGCCAGCTCTAACCCTTTCTGAAGGCAGTGCCCCAGTGCCCTCACATCTCCTCTCAGGCCTTACCTCTTTAAGAGCCCAACCCTCTTAATGTGGGGACCGAGTCTCCAGAACAGAATCCTTTCCTGTTCCATACTCAGTTGCTTTGCAGTGTATTTTTTCTCTTTTCTATTTCATTTTCACAATCTCCTAGCCTGTTAGAATGCCTCTTAGTAAGGTCCTTCAATGGCAAACCAACTTGTTTATTTTCATCTATGTATGGAGGTTCCTAATGTTGAGTCCTGTTTTCCCTTAAAAACTGGGTCACTTTTGCTTGAAGATACTTCTTCTGTGTCGTCCTGCACCACCACTGCTGTGTCCACTGTGACCGGCTAAGTCAGAGTGTGGATGTGGTGGACATCCCACATCCAGGCCCTGGCAGCGAGCTCGAGTTCATCGAGTTCATCCGGTTTAACCCCTGGTATTAGCCGTCCTGTGGGTAACTATAGAAAGGGTGAGGAAGGGGATAGCTGAAAACGTAGAAGGGCTCTCCTGGGGCCCAGAAAAGGAAACCATGTAGAGGAGGACAGAAGCCTGGAAAGGAGGATGGGAACAAGAGCTCTGGCGAAGAGATGGCTTCCTCGCTGGTGAGGAGAGCGGCTGCGGAGAGCTCGCTGTTGACGTCTGACCCCTTTGGAGCGGCTGTGCGTTGCGTTCTGAGGAGCTTCAGTGCCTCCTGTCCACTGTTCCCACCCTGGTGCCCTGATGGATAGGTTGAATACTTGTCACCTTCCATTTACAGGACAGCTTCCAGGAGAGTCTTGTCCCTTAGCTTCTGTGTCTCCCTCTCCTGCTGGACCCTGCTCCCTGCTATCTTTCTCCCCCAGGACGGGTCTGTCCGTGTGGCCGTGCCTGGGAGTGTGGCGTGGATACCACCGGGGGTTCCTCATCTTCATGAAGTCTCTGGCTTTCCCCTGCAGGGCACAGTGCACCCCGTGACCACCATCAGCAGCAGCGATGTGGAGAAGGCTTACCTGGCTTTCTGCGCCCCGGGAGCTGACGCCCAGGCGGCCATCCTGAAGTTCCAGGCCGGAAAGCACAACTACGCACTAGACTTCAAAGGTACTTCAGCCCACCGTGCAGAGATCCCTTCCATGTTAAGCCGAGGGGTGCACCTGGGATGGTGCAGGAAAGAAAGGAGGGGGTGTCCACCCAAAAGTGGGGACAGGCCTGTCAACAGGCAGTGCTGTCCCTGCAGGGCTGAGGAGCTGTGCATGGAGGAAATGAGAGGGGGCAGGGGCCAAATCCTGGGGACGGGAGGATCAGGGAGTGCAGCTGTCCCAAGGGCCAGGAGAGTCCTTTTGGTCCAAGGCTTAACTTCGCTCAGTCCCTGTTGTGTAGTGTCTGCCTTGTCACTGTGGGTGTGGCAGTATTGCCACCATCTTTTCTGTAGGTGCCATTGGCCTTGGCAGTGTCCTGACTGGGACAAATGGTTCGTCCCAGTTGCCTTTACTGACAGGAGGCCAAACACCTATCGGCTAGCTCATCAGCAGTGGAGCTATGAGTTTTCTTTGTTTTAGTTCTGCAGTAGGTTCTTGTAAACCATTTCCCGGATGTATCAGACCAGCCCTGTTCAGTTCAGTTTGCCTACGTTTCCCTTTCGGACTCGGAGCCTCGAGCGCCCAGCATTGTATAAGGGACTAGGAGGGGCTTCCTCACAGTGCATGTTCTGCTCTTGCTGTTTCTGTGAATCTTAATTCTGTGTAGAGAGCACAGTGTCTTTGGTGAACCACCCTAAAACCACTTCGCCTGCTTGCTGCTCTGGCCTGTTGATTTGGTTTGTAGCACCTGTGGTTTTGTGAGGGGGAGACTCCCTGCCCCTGTACACCCTGGAGTTCCTTCTGCTCTCAGAGTGCATGGTTCTACTGGAGGACACCAGTGTAGGTGACATGGCCGACAGACACGAGTGTGCTGCCGGGCACAGCCGTGGAAGAGGGTACAAGTTAGGACTGCTCTGCAACCCAGGTCCACACCCCTGTCACCCACCTGACTTTTCTGACCAGTTAAAGATAGTTCTTTTAAATATCTGGAAAGTATCAAAACATAAACAGAAGACATCAGATGCAACCACTATCATTCTCAACTGCAGCTCACCCCTGGGGTGGAACAGACTTTGAGGACAAGGGAAGGGATGAGCATACGCAGGCAGTTAGAAAACACGTGTTCACTGTAGCCAGACCCAGCCTGTTGGAGAGGGCATCTTTCTGTTCATTTCGGTGGATGCTGCTATCCACAAAGGAAGTCTGCGGTGCTTGGTTTTGCCCTCATAATCTCACCACTATGTATAACAAAAGCAACTCTCAGACTGAACTCTACCACATACATAACATGTTTATTAGAAGCAGAAGTGCCTTGTCTGTAGGTTTGGGACCCTTGGCTCAGTCCTTAGGGATTCTTGTCACAAAAGATTCACTCAAGGCAAAAGCTACCCCCCAGAGGTGAATGCTGACACTGTTTGCTGGCTCAGACAGGCAGAATCCCCCAGTCTATTTTGAGATGTAGTCCAGTGTGTCCTCTGCAGGGACAAACTAGAGTGGAGGCCTCACTGCCCGTGAAGGGTAGAGGACACATTAGTCAGTCCACATAGCTTGAGTAACTTTTAATTTCTACAGGGGAAGCTCATTAAGATTCATCCCAGGTAAGCTGGGTGTGGTGGTGCATGCCTGTGACCCCCGAACTCAGGAGGCTGAGGCAGGAGGATTGCTGTGAGTTGGAGGTCAGCCTGGGCTACCTACTGAGTTTAAAGTAAGCCTGAACTACATAGTGAGACCCTGTCTCAAAAAAAAAAAAAAAAAAAAATTCATCCCAGGTGATTGTTGTAGTCAGGGTTTGCAAGAGAAACAGTTTAATACAGGATGCATAATTTATAGGATTATTTTATAATGGTCACACAGAGTCAAATACAAGAGTGTAGGAAATCTGTCTACACACTAAAGACCCAAAGAATCCAGCTGAGGGCCTCAATCCCCTGGCAGTGTCCTGCTTGAGTCTAGCTAAAGACCTAGAGTCCATGACAGTGCTCCCCACAAGTCCAACGGGAGACCTAGAGCCCATGACAGTGCCCTCCATGAATCCAGCTGGAGGCCAGCAGCCCATGACAATGTCCCATGCAAGCCTATTTCATGGATCTGCCCTGGGAAGGCCCACCGGTCAGTGATGGAAGCTAGAAAGCCTGTGCCAGTGGGATGAAGGATCTGTGCCAGTAGGCTGACATCTGCACTGGAGCCAGGAAGTGATACTCTAAGTAAGGCCCAGAGCTTCCTAAAGTGAACCGTAGTCATTCTCAGTGACAAGGTCCCAAGCTCTTCCGACGATGAGAAAAACCGAGCTATCGGGAAAGCTGGCATGACAAGCTCCTCCAGGAGAACCATCAGCCACTGCTTACTCCTTTCCTGTTCTTTATAATGCTATTGGCAACAATCCTCAGGTGGGCCCTCCACACCCAGTGCCACGCTGATTCAGTTCAGCTGAGTGTTACAAGTTGCCCACCAGTTGTCAATCCACTATAGTGATTGATATGCCAGGAAAACCAACTTCAGTGTGCTACTGAGCAGCCTCAAGGGGAAGGCTCATGGGGGGGAACAGACGGGGATGGAGCTGCACCTGGGGATGTGGGTGGCTGCAGTATAAGAGACACACACTCAGGTTATTACACACATGCTCCTGGATAGTAAGGTAAATGACACACCTTTGTAATTTTTACCATTAAAGTGTTCTTAAAATGAAAATAATTTTTTACTCTTAAGAGGAAATTAGGACTGTCGGGGTTTCCATAGTGGGTAGGACTCCTGGCCTGATTGCTAGGCACTTGTCACCTGTCAACTCAAGAGGCGGCTACCCCCTCAGGGTGAACATGAGGTTCTTTAGGGTGAGGTGGCCAGGGTTGTGTTTGTGAAAGATAATGCGGGTTTAAAGGGTGATGAATACTGCTATCAAGTCAGTTTACACTAAAAAATTGTAAGAGTAAAATTATTGTATCAACCCCAAACCCCACTAACTCCAGACGTGGTAATTTGTTCTCAGGCTGGGCTGGGCTGTGCTTTTTTTTATCTCCAAGCTGGGAAAAATTGCTAAGCAAAATAATAGCTTAAACAAGATTAGAAGGAACAATTTAAAAGCACTCATGTATAATTGATATGTCAATTGCTAATCATTCCTCTATTCATTAAACCAAGCCTCCTAAGGATACCTGTTTTCTTTATGAATATTTGAAATGTGTAAAGCTGCCTTATTTTTAAGACTGATTATGGGCTTTACACATTTGGGTTAACTTTCCAGCCCATTTAATTTGTGTTTATACAACATTGCTGTGTGTGTGTGTGTGTGTGTGTCTAGATATGTCTGTTTCTTCATTGCCTATATTTTTTTCAGCCTTCGTTCAGAAAAACCTGGTCTATGGCACCATCAGAAAGGTTTGCCGCAGACCCAAATACGTGTCTCCCCAGGACGTGCTGATGAAGCAGACCTGGTAGGTGGCGTGGAGAGCTTGCTTGGAGTGTGTTACCAGTGTGCCCTGTGGCGGTGACAGCGTGGAGGGCACTTACTTCCCTGTGTCACCAAGTGCTCTTGCACGCACTCTGCCGTCGTGAAACGTACCGGCTGGGAGAGCCTTTGAGCCAAAGGGAGAAATAATCCCTGCCGCATAATTACAGGCTGGTATGTGAGCCTGGTCAGACCTAAGCTAGCCCATCAGTGTCTTTTCGAGTGGGACTGAGTTATAGACCTGACATTTGTTAATTATTGAAGTAGTGAAGGAGTCACACAAATTAAACCCATGTTTCAGCCTTGAATACCTTGGGATACCAAAATACCTAACCCAGTATTAGAGCCGCTGATGGGCCAGCCTCACCCTGGGTGCGTTTTCTTAGGTTACAGGTGGCTGCTGGAGGCCTCTTGGGCCCTGACCTGGTGTACACGGGGAGAGTGACGGGCTCTGCACCGATCCAACCCCCCTTGCTGGGAGGAGGTGGCCCTGGTGGTGGAGAGGGATAACAGTGCCCCTGTCAGGTTGGCTTTGCCACCGCTGAAGCTGGGACTGTAGCTAACATGGCTGTCAGCTGCCTGTCACTTGTTAGCCTGAGAAGTCAGCCTCATTTTGCTTTCATGGGAGACTATCTTGGAACTTAGAGCCAACAAAGTAACTTCTTGGGGAATGTGCCTGCCTTTTTGTTTTTAATTAAAATTTATTTTTGACTACATGCATGACATTTACATATTTAAGACTGTACAACAAAGAATACTCAGTAGTCTGCATCTGTGTTAGCTTCACTCTTTCCCCACTGTAGTGAGCATTTCAGTTTCTGCTTTCACGTGTTTCTCTCAGGCAAAATAAGCAAATGCACATGTGCACGCACACGCACGCCTACTTTCCTCCTCTTGCGCTAAAGGTCATCTGGTATATAGGTCTTCTGTACTTTCTTAAAAAACCTAAACATAGATCCTTATACATGCTGTGTTTCAACTCACTGAAGTCTTTCTTTCTAAGTCTGCCTCTGCTTTGGTGGTTCTCAGTCCTGAGTGTGGAACATAATTTTTCTTCTTTTCACAGGTGTCTGTGTTGGTTTTTTTTGAGCGGGGAGGGGTGGTGGTGCCGCGGATTGAACCCAGGACCTTGTGCATACAAAGCAAGCACTCTACCACTGAGCCACATCCCCAGCCCCTGCTATGTTGTTTTCAAAGTATAATGTCACATGGAACCATCTGGTGATCGTGCTGTTTCGATTTTGGGGTAGATGGCCAGGTCTGAGTCCTGGCTGGTTGAAATTCCCTTTTGTGAGCCCGAACCACTGTGCTGTCCCTCTGGGCCACCTGAGATGCCAGTTTTCCCTCGTCCCACTCATGCAAGTCATTGCGCTCCTAGAGGTTGTCATTCTCTAGATGTGAAATGGTGTGTCAGGGTACTTTCGTTTGCTTTTCCTATAAGTAAGGGTATTTTTTCCCTATCATGTAAGGGCTGTTTTTCTCTTTTCCTCCCCCATGGGCTGTTTACCTTTTTGTCCATTTTTCTGTCAACTTTTTGCTGTTCTTCTTTAATATGTGGAACCTGTTGTCTGTTAGGAAGGTTTCAGCCCTTGGTTATATACATGACAAACATTTTCTCTTGGCTTGTTTGCCTTTTGCCTTTGCTTATGAAGTATTTTATCATAGAGACACTTCGTTTTGTTTTCTTTGTTTGATTAAATGTATCAGTCTCTTCTTTATTGCTTCTGGATTTAGAGTTTTGGTTGATTATAACCATCCTCTAGCTAGAAGTTATTTTTTATTTTCTCTCTATCCAGAGTCCAAGGTCAAGTTTGGAAAACTCTTTTTTGAAACTGAGTCTCTTGTCATCATTCTGATTTAGTTTTGGAGGGCCACAAGTAGATAGTAGGTGTCAGAAATAAAAGGATAGTTTCGCTCAACACAGACTGAGGTGTGTGTGACATCCTCTCCCGTGGGCGGAGTGCCGTGCGCTGCCCATACAGCTCAATGCCATTTCTTCCCACAGCTGTGTGGTGGCAGCCACTTGCTGACTCCACAGAGAAGGGCTGGAACGTTGAGGTGGGTCTCTTTCAGAAACACTTCTGCAGTTATACAACGTCATCTCCATAGTCAGAAGGTAGTACAGGATTGTCAATCTAAAATATAATTTGAAACAGCATCTATATACATTAGGTATCTGATTCTTTCGCTGCTTTCGTAAAAATATTTATGTGATGGATTCTTATTTTTTATTTTCTTACCTTTTTTTAACCTTTTGGATTTTTAAAATCACATTTACTTTCTAATAGTTTGAAAGTTGTAGTGTGTTACTATTTTCTTAGAAGTGTCTACTAGAAACTGCATGTGTTCTTCTCTTAGGTACAAGTAAATCAGTATCTTTCTCCTCCCATTAATTAATACAGAACCTGTCTATACTTTTTCCATTTACCTTCCTTATGGCTTTTAAGTAAGAGGCACTGTTATTTTATACCGTTAAGGCTGCATTAAAATTATGTTTCTGCATATTTCTTTGTTCTTTCAAATATCCTTAGATGAAGGACCGTTGGATGGCTGTTTTGGTTTGTGTGACTACATCTTTGTTTTTTCTTGATCTTAAGAGATACTTCATTGCGTATAACATTTTAGGTTATAGTTATTTTCTCCGGGAACATTGAAGATACCACTCTCCTGTCTCCTGGTTTGCTGTTGCTTTTGAGAAGTTGACTGTTGTAACTGGTGCTTCTTTGATGGTAACCGTGTTTTCCTTGGCTGCTTTTAAGGACTCCTGTTTGTCTCGGGGCAGATCCCGCACTGCGGTGTGTCCAGGCGTGTCTGTGTCCTGCCAGACCTGTGCTCAGTGTGTCACAGTGCTGCTTTCTCCTCCCATCTGGAGCTTCCCTTAGCTTTGGGCCAGATTCCAGCAGGTTCTCTGTGCTCCTTCCCCGCATCCCCCACTGCCTTCTTAAGTGGGCTACGTTCTGGATAATTTCATTTCATGTCTCAGCCGTTATTTCTCTCTTCAGATGGTCTCATCTGGTATTTAGCAAGGCCTTGGAGCTTTTGTCATCAAGGATTCCGCTTTTCACTTCTAAAAGTTCTGTTTACAGTCTTTTTATGGTTTCCTTGCATATGTTTTTCAAGTTTGCTTTCCATTTCTTTAAGAGTGTTGTTTTACAGTGTAGTGATCTTGTCGCCCTAAGTCACGGTGGATCTGTTTCTGGCTGCTGCTTGCTGTGAGACCGTGTTAGGTGACTGCACGGCGCCCTCTCCCCAGGAAGGTAATCTGTGGGACACTGAGGTGTAGGATATGCGCCCGTGCCAGCAGAAACAGCACTTAGCACTGTTGTGGAGAGTTCTGTGCATTCTGATGTAAGCGGGATCGTTTGGAAGCAGTTTCACAGTGCTGTTCCTAAAGCCCATGGGGCCTGTGTCTTTTAGAATTGCTTTTATTTTATTATTTTTAGAAGCTTTATGTGGTGGCCTGTGTTATGTGACATCCTGTGTCTTAGCACATTAATATTTCTGCAGCTAGGACTATTTGCCATCACTTTAAGAAGGGTGGTAGGTCTACAAACTTCAGTTCAAGTCAGATTTCTACTGCCAAATAGATTTTGGTGTTCATTTTATGTTTTTCAAAAAATGTTTTTATAAGCTGGATGTGGTGGCACACACTTTTAAAAATCCCAGCTACTCAGAAGGCTGAGGCAGCAGGATTACAAGTTTGAGCCTTGCCTGGGCAATTTAGGAAGAGCTTGTCTTAAAAAGTGAAAAAAGGGCTGACTGGGATGTAGCTCTGTGGTCGAATGTTGCTGAGTTCAATCCCCAGTAACCCCCTCAGTTACCTGAGGGGTAAGTCAATTACCTGACTCTTTAAAAAAGTCTTTGGAGCTCTTTGAGTTCAAGCCTGTGCCCTGCACGTGCGGCTTTCCTCATGGGCTCTGTCCCTCCTGGGTTAGCCAGAACACGGTGGGAAGGCATTCCCAGGACCGATTGCTGTGTGTTTGGCCATGGAGGTGAAGATAAAAGTGTTCTTGTTGGGCTTGGTGGCACACGCCTGTAATCCTAGCCCTCTGGAGGCTGAGGCGGGAGGATACCTGTGAGTTTGAGGCCAGCCTGAGCTACATAGTGAGTTTAAGGCCAGGCTGAACTACAAAAGGAGACCCTGTGTTAATCCCTCCCCGCAAAACGAAGCCTTCTGGTGTGCAGATCCTGTGTTTGTGTGCTGCCTCACCTTCCTCTGTCTTGTAACATACTGTGTGCTGATGCTCATGCCTGGTGATACTGCTTAGTGGGAACTGCCGGTGGTAGATTTGCTTACATCCAGGATAAAGCGTCTGAGTGCTTCTGCTTATGTTTTGTAGCAGTGTCAAATTTCAAGGCCCAAAGAGCATCCCAGACCATTGGGATCCCTCTGCCCTGCCAGACCCAGGCTTTAAGGTAAGGACTGTGCTGGGGCTGGAAGAGAGGGGTCTCTGGGGATGGGTGGCGGGTGGGTGGTGCTGAGTGGCTGTGCATTATGGGACGGAACTGAAGGCCCAGTGACCACCACCACCTGGGAGATGCCTGTGGCTTGAGGGAAGGGTGTAGTGTGGCAGGAGGAGGACGAACGGTGAAATTGGCTGGGAAGGGGAGACATGAAGAGCGTAGGAGCCAGGCTTAGCCAATAAAAATCAGTTTTACTAAACAAGAAAAGGAAAATAAACAGGTGAAAGATCTGCGTATGATGAGGGACATGGAGCAGAGGAAAGCGCAGGCCTGAGCAGACAGGCGAGTGAGTGGTGCAGGTAGGGCTGGCGCCCAGGAGCGCAGACTGACGTCCTGCTTGCCCTGTCCGCCCCAGCACCCTCTCTACCTGGAGCCCTGACCTGGCGGGGTGTGCGGGGCTCATGCTGAGCACGTGCAAATCCAGCAGCACAGGCCGTGTGCGAAGGGCCGGGGAGTCACACGGCTCTCATAGCCATGCAGTCCACCCTTGTATACATTATTAACGATCCAAAAGCAGAGCAAGGACACCCTGGACATACCCAGGAGTGCCGTGTTGGGCATCACAGGCCTGTCCTTCGGGTGGGCTTCGCAGTGAACAGGTGGCGATGCCTGTAACTTGCGAATACCCCAAGCCAGGAGAGCCCTCTTCTGGGAAGGGGAGTGTGGTTGCCGTTCTGTGGCTTGCTTTCTTCCATGTCCTGGCAGTTTCTGGTTGCCATGGGAAGAGGAAAGGATTCCTCTGTATTCTGCACTTGGATGATAACATATTAAAGACATTATCCTTTTGTAGAAAATCACCCTCGATTCTTTCTCGGAAGAGTATCAGAAAGTCTGGAGCCTCTTCAACCGTACACTGCCTTACTGCTTTGTTCAGAAGATACAGAGAGTTCAGAACCTGGCCTTGTGGGAAGTCTACCGGTGGTGCGTTGGGGCTGGTTTTAGGGGGCGGGCTGCTCTATCCCCTTACCCTGCCAGCTGCTCACCAGCACGCCCTGGGCCTCCAGGAAACTCCGCCTGGAGCCATGTGTCCTCTCCCCCCACCCAGCGCTCTGTGGTGGCGTAGACCATTGTAGAGTTGAGGGGATGGAGGCTTCCTGAGCTTAGGTGGTTCCTGCCGTGACTGGTGGCCAAGTCAGCCTCTACCCTTGTCCATCCTGCTCCCTAAAGATGGACGGGATGGGACAGGGCAGCTGCAGGAGTGAGCTGGGGCCAGGGAACAGGGCCTGGCTCAGTGCGTGTGGCCCTGTGCTCATGGCCCCGGCACTTCTCCCCTAGCGAAACTGCCCAGGAGGGTTCCACGGGCGCGGAGCCAGGCCCCAGGGCCGGGTTGCTCAGGAGCAGGGAGTAGGGCTGGTAACCTCCCTTGGCTGGGTGTCGGGGAACCAAGGGGGAAGTGGCCCTTCTGCTTTTCATCGCCCTTTCCTCATTCCTGGGCCTGTGGCCGCAACCTCCAGGGCCTGGCCGTGTGGTGTTTCTGTTCTTTTAGCAGAGTGCACTTTTGCAAGTCTAGTCAGCTGGACTTGGTGGTCAGCACCCTCTTTTGCAACGTGTGTCCTGCAATTTAGGCAAAAAGGGCAGATGCAGAAGCGAAATGAGGGGAAGGAGGTGGACGAGCGGCAGCTGTTTCATGGCACCGCCACCAGCTTTGTGGATGCCATCTGCCAGCAGAACTTCGACTGGCGCATCTGTGGTCTTCACGGCACCTCCTATGGCAAAGGTAAGCTGATGTGGCCGCTGGCCCTTGGGAACACCTGTCCTCTGAGGGAGCATCCGTCCTCCGAGGGGATGCCCTCTGCAAGACCCTGATGTTGTGCCTCTGCGTTGGCCAGGAGCTCAGCCCGAGGCTGGTAGCCCTGGGGGTGGAGGTCTGGGAAGGTAGGGCAGAGTGGGAAGACCTGCTGTCCCCAGACTACATCTTCACAATGTCCTTTGGCTAGAGATCTGGACATCTAAGTTCACCCACATAGAAGCCATTCTAGCTGTTATTTGACCTGTTTTCCTCTCAGTTACTTTTAAGCTTTATTTGTAGATAATTTCAAACCCATAGCAGAGTTGGGGAAATAATCGCGTAAAGTAACTGCATGCATTTTATCTGTGCTTGTCAGTATAACAGTGCACCATGAGGTTTGATCATCTCCTTTCTGTATTTTTTTGTGATGTTTGGCCGGGAGGTGGATACACAGTGTCCCTTCCTCCTCTAACACTTCTTCTCTAGCCAGCGTGGCCACCACAGGTAGAAACGTCACAACCTGCTGCCCATATCCGGATTCAGGGTCCATTGGGTGGTTCCTGCCTGATGGGTGACAGTTGTGGGGTCGGCTGGCACAAGAGTTGGGGGGAGGGGTTGGGCGGCCTGCATGCAGTGGCAGCTTGCAGCCTGGTCCCCGTGGGGGAAGGTGGGGAGTCCCGCTCACTGGGCCGCGGGTGCCCCCGTAATGGCTGCGCGTGGACTCTGGTTCTCCCTCCACTGACCCTCTGAGTTGGGTGGAACAGCCCCACGTCACAGCTGAGGAAACTGAGACCCAGGTTTAGAAGCTGAGATCTGGCGGGGCGTCCGCACTGAGGGGCCTCCTCTCTGAGGTGGGACTCCTCTGCTGCCGCACAGAAGAGTGGTGGCAATACCCACACTCCTCTGTGGGGAGGCAGAGTGACAAAGAGCAGAGGCCCTTGTCCAGCAGTGTCCGCCTGTCCTGTATGGCTGCTGGCCTGTCCTCCTGGTGCCCAGCGGAGCCCATGTGTGTCGTTTCAGGGAGCTACTTCGCCCGCGACGCCGCGTATTCCCACCACTACAGCAAGTCCGACACCCACATCCAGGCGATGTTCCTGGCCCGCGTGCTGGTGGGTGACTTTGTGAGGGGCAACCCCTCTTTCGTCCGCCCCCCTGCCAAGGAAAGGCAGAGCAACGCCTTCTACGACAGCTGCGTGAACAGTGTGTCCGACCCGAGCATCTTTGTGGTCTTCGAGAAGCACCAGGCCTACCCCGAGTACCTCATTCACTACTCTACCTCTCCCAGGCCGCCACCCACAGCTGCCACTGCTGCTGCCACTGCCACCCCCACTGGAGGCTCCATGCTGGTGGCGGCTCTGGGCTCCCTGTTTGGTGGCCGCCAGTGAGTACGGCCGGGAGGCAGGGAAGCTGTGTGGGGTGTTTTTTTTTTTTTTTTTTTTTTTTTTTTTTTGAGAAAACTTTTAATGAACTGTTGTTTGATGTTGGCTTCTCAGTGAAGTTATGTTCTTAACCCTTTGCCAGTAACAGTTTCTACTTTCAGGTGACTTTGGGGCTCACCTGTGGACTCACTGCACCAGTGGTGGGCGAGCCTGCTTGCTTTTTAACGACATGTTAATGCTGTACTTGGCACTCTGGTCCTGCGCTGCTTGTTGCAGCTGGCAGAGTTTGAAGACACTGTTTTATGGATTCGTTTTAATGGTTAAGGGTTCTGTGTCTGCAGTGACTCCGTGTTCAGGGTCTCGTGCCTTTGTCAGCGTGGCACAGTGGCGTGTGGGAGGAGAGCCCAGTTCTGCAGCTGCTCCGCGCCCTGGCACTGCCTGACCTGTGTCAGGTGTCAGGGCAGGTGGCAGCCGTGTGGTGTCATCGAGTCACTGCTGGTTTTCCCTAGTGCTGGGGGCCAGCAGGACTACCCTGGCAGGAGACATGGACGAGTCCCCCGGGAGCCCAGACTCGAATCCCGTGTCCCGGAGAGCCTGAGTTTCTGTGCTGCAAATGTCACGTGAGAGTATGAAATAAAAATATTTATCCAGAGTGGGCATGACTGTGGCTCTTCTTCAGTGCCTGTGGCTAGAGCTGCAGGGCCTGGGCACTGCTGTGGGGGTCAGGGCTGTCTGCCCTTGGGCTGCTGTAAACAGTGCCATCTGCAGAGTGGCTGGGAAGCAAGAGGCATGTACTGCTCAGTTCTGGCGCTGGCACCTGGGTCAAGATGCCTGCAGACCGGGTGTCTGGCGAGGGTGCCTTCCTTGCTGGCAGCCTGTTCATTGCAACCTCGAGCGGAGAAGGGCCCTGGCAGCAACAACCCCACTCACGGAGGCCGCACCCTCACGGCCCGGTCACCTCTTCACAGGTCCAGTGCCATCACCTGGGGGCGTTCAGCCTGGGATGCTGGAGTAGAATTGAGAGCACAGCAGGAGGGAGCAGACGATGTTGCTGGCATTGATAGGGCTTCATGGGGATTTATCACAAAGCCATAGTTGGGCCCCTTGTTTTGGGTCCCCTACTTTTTTGGTGGGGGCGGAGTCTCTGAAGTTCAGGCTGGCCTTGAGTTTGTGGCAATCCCCCTGCCTCCGCCTCCTGAGTGCTGGGATTACAGGCCTGCACCACTGCGCATGGCCTTGTGGATCCCTTTTGAAGTCCCTAGTAGGAGCCTAGGAATAGCGTCACGTGGCTGCACGTTGCGCTCAGGTTTGCAGGTTACATATTTGCACTCTCATGTTCCCTCTCACAGTTCCGGCTCACGGAGTCCGGTTCACCCTCAGACAATGCTCACAGAGTCTGGCGCATCCCTCTGGGCCCTGGGCAGGCCAGGCCGGTAGAGAAGCTGACCCCCAGCAAGATGTGCTCACTTGGCGCTTGTGTGTCGGTTGTGTCCTGTGTGTTCACATCCAAGGCTGTCTCGTCTTCCCATCCTCAGGGTGATTGGAAACCTTTCACAGGCGGGACAGAGCCAGGCTAAATGAGCAGGGAGTGGCCGCGCTAGCCGACCTGCCAGCAGGACCAGCCACAGGACCAGCCACAGGGCCGCGGAAGGTGTGGTTTTCAGCCTGCCCTGCGCTCCCCTGCAGTCTGCTAACCCTCCAAGTCTGCTCATTGATTTTGGATCATCTTTAGCCCGCTGCTTTGTGTGGGTGTGCACATGGCGGTATGGGTGGCGGGGTGACCGGAGGGAGGGAGCCGTGGAGGCTGCAGAGACCAGCGCATGTAGGTGCCTTTGAGAAAGCAAGTTAGGAGCAACAACTTGAATTGGTGGAGGGTTGGGCCCATGTCCGCAGGAGTGGGAACCGGGTGGGCCCCGTAACAGGAAGGAGCCCGGAGGGCCGGAGCTCTCAGGATGGCTGTGCAGAGATGTAGGACCCAGGGCAGGTGTGTGTGGGCGTGGCCAGAGCGTGAGGACCCGGTGGCAGACAGCGGGAGGCTCTGTGGCCTATCCAGCCAGTTTGGTTTGGGGCATTTTCCTGTCCCCCATCTGGTATTGGGTGTGAACCGTGGATCTAAGCAGGGCCAGAGAGAGCGGGGGCTGGGGGCCCAGTGACGCCAGCACGCTGGCTGTGTGTGAAGATGGCGGCCACCTGGGAGATGATGGGTTGGGGGTGGAGCGGCCGCCCGAGGGCTGGGTGGTGGCTGGGCCCATGTAGTTTGGCGCCTACGGGGTGGTCAGAGCTGGGGGCCAGGCAGGGCGTAGGGAAGCAGGTCAGGCTCCCGGAGAGAGGTTGTGGCGCACGGATGTTGCGGCAAGGCTGTGGAGAGGGCCATGTGGCAGCTGCCTGGGCTGCAGCACAGGCAGTTGTGGCACACGGCCAGGACCTCGTGGGTGCAAGCAGGGGCTCGGGAGTGTGGGCACTCTGGGCTGTGGGGACTGGGCAAGGACCACACGGAGCAGTGTGTGCAGCAGTCCATGTGGAAGGCTGCAGCTCTCCTGAGTCCTCTAAAGGTGTCACCTGGACACATCTGAGGCCATGTGAAGGGCCGGTGGATCCCGCTAAGGGTGCTATCCATAGGGCACCAGCCCTGACTGCTCCCATGTCAAATGCAAGAGGATGGGATCTTTTGCTTGGTCAGCTTCCCTGTTTTACAGATGAGGAAACTGAAGCACAAGGAGGTGAAAAGACCAGCAGCTGTGACTGGGGCTGCTGGGGGGAAGATCAAGCACTTTGGTGACTGACCCTTCTAGAATACGACCGTCGCTTTTACTGACATTCACCGACGTATTTGGGTTGCTTGCTCAAAATGAGACCTGTGCATTAGAAGAAAGAGCATGTGAAACTTTAACTTTAACTTTAGCCAGTCACAGAGACCCACTGGGAGGACCAGAGCACTCTCCAGGCTGTCTGCTGAGCACCGTTCTCTGAGAGCCCCATGCCCGTGCCCCCGGGACAGGGCCAGCTGCGTGTCCCATGCACATAGAATCCTGTCCTGAGGCCAGGACTTCCTGTAAGAATCATGTTCTTGGTCATTTTACCTATTTATCTGCAACCTAACTTAGATTAATAGCAGCGTCCCTGGGAACATCAATACTGAGACAAATGTTTATTAAGCATTTAGAGGTCACGTCAAGAAGCTCTTTTCTGCTTGCCCGCTGGGTACCCTCTCCATCACTCACGTCCAAGATAAGGGTTTTCTTTGAATCCCGGGTGCCCTCGAGACACTGACAGACCTCACAGCTGTGAGCTGCCTTCTTTCCCCAGCTGCTTCTGCATCAGCGCGGTATAAGTTTGATGTAGATACCGTTTTTGGGAGCTAGAGCAGATGTGGATTCTAGCTGCAGAGGTACCTAAAATAGAGGACATTAAAATAGTCAGAATCTACCAGACCCACAGGCAGAATTCCTCGGAGCCAGGCCTGAGCCAGGGTTGGGGGAAATCTGTGGGCTGACGATAGCTGGGCAAGGCGTGGGCAAAGGAGACACCCAGCGGGGACAGCTCCTTGAGAAGCCAGCAGGGCCATCTCGGGGAAGCGCATGGGGACCCCAGCTGAACTTGGTTCATAAGTTCGCACCCCGGTGAGTCGGATACTGCAGGTGACGAGCGCATCTGGGCTGCATTTGTTTATCCGAGAAGGCTGGGGAAGGCGTGGTAGATCTCACTTTGCACTCGAACACCAGGAGGCTCAGGGAGGCTATACAGCCACAAGGCAGGGAGCAAAGTTCTCTGCCACTCTGCCGTCCCGCTGTCCCCGGCTTCTCACTGCCCTCTCTTTGGGCAGAGGGACCCTGGGCCACAGCCTGCTCACTGGCGCTCTGGCCTGGCCTCCCCTGGCCAACCTCAAAGGCAGAGGCACGGTGGCCCGGGGACTTGGAAGACAAGCCAGAGAATCACTGGAGTACGTGTCAGGGGTGATGCGCTGGCCGATGTGAAGGACCGGCCAGGTTACAGGATCCGGGCCTTGGTGGGCGTTCTCAGAGGCCTTTGTGGGCTATGTCAGACAGATGACAAGGTATATGTCAGTAAGCCAGATCACCTGTGCTGGAGCAGGGAGCGCCGAGAATGCGGCTGGGTGGAGGAGCGCCTGAGGCTTTGACTGGATTTGGTTATAATTAAGTGTAAATAGCTACCTGGGGCCAGAGGCACAGCACACGCTGATGGATGGAAGGCAAAGGAGAGGTGAGTGGGGAGGGTGAAATCAGGGAGGCCTTCCTGGAGGAGCTAGCCTGGGTGGGGGAAGGGTTGGATGAAGCCATGAGCGGGACCCCTTAGAGGATGGGACTGGGGAGGGGCAAGAGGGGGGAGGGAGGGCTTTCGAGGTGAGAGGAAGGAGCCCTGTTGGAGCAGGAGGGAGCACGCATGGGCTCGTGCCATCTGGAGTTCAGCAGAGGGCTGGTGTGAGTGGCGCGGGGGATGGTGGTCTGACACCAGCCAAAGGAGCTGCTTTCCTGTCCGGTCCCTGTCCCTGTCTCTTGCTCGGTCCCCTCCTTGCTCGGCCCTGCCTGCCACCCCTCATGGGCATCTTCCCTTTGGTTCCTGCACCTTCCCACCCCACGTCCACACTTCCTCACGACCAGCAGCCTGGCGCAGTTGCTCTGTTCGTCGCAGGCACTGCCAGTCTCTGCATCTAGGACCATCCCTGTCGGTACGGGGTCCCTTTCTGTCCCCGCACACCTCCAGTGCAGGTGCGCAGCTGTGGGGGGCTCTGGTGACAGGAGTGGACGGCCCGGGCGTACGGGGAGAGACGGCCGGACCGTGTGGGGAGCAAGCAGTTTCTGGGCATGAGCAGGACTGGGTTTGCGCCTTGGCTTTGTCACTCTTAATTCCTTGTCCGTGTGTTCCTTGGTGTGTGACGAATGATTATACGAGCACCCACCACAGGCCTGGCATCAGGCTTCTGTGGAGGATGCAGCAGGGCTGTCCCTGTGTGTCCCTGGTCTGCAGTCCGACTGTGTGACCTCAGGCCCACGACTTCCCTCTCTGAGCTCCAGATCATCTGAAGGCGGGAATAACAGAACCCAGCTTTGGGGTGAAGCATGTGGCATGAGGGGGTAAGGGGCCCAGAAATGGGGTCATGTTTCAGGAGGGCCCCGATGTCTGGGTGGGGGAGGGTCTGTGCGCCTCTCTGGCACCTCAGGAACGAAGGTGTGGCCCAGCGTGTGACAGTGACCACAGAGTGGGGGAAGGCAAGGCTGTGGCAGCAGCGAGCACCCTCCAAGGCGCTGGAGCCCCTCTGCCTCCTCCACAAGCAGGAAACCTCCGGGACCAGGAGGAGCCAGAGGGGTGTCCCCAGCCTCTGGAGGACAAGCCACGCACCCCAAACCCTGCCAAGCAGCACGAGTTGTGCAAGACGTGAGGCCACCCTGAAACTCGGAGCGGTCACCATGGTTTACTGTCCCTGTCAGTTCAGCCACTCATGACAGTAGGAAGTGGAGGACACTGTTTTGTTTGTTTTTTATTTTTTGAGACAGGGTCTCACTATGTAGCCCAGGCTGACCTTGAACTCATGGATCTTCCTGCCTCAGCCTTCTGAGTGCTGGGATTACAGGTGTGCGCCACCATGCCGGGCTGGGAGGGCAGTGGCGTTATTCGCATGGTCTCAATTTACAG